TATGCACCGTTTTCATTTCTTTGTGTTATGTTTGTTCCCTCGTCAACAAAATCATGTTCTATTCATTGAATTATTTTGGGGATTATTTTTATATTTATAAGAGTATTTGTGGGACAAGGGGACATATTTGTCTAAAAGAATTAGTCGGATGCTTTAAAAGGCCCGAATACTTTTTTCCAACTCCAATAGTAATGTGATCTTTCAAAAAAAAAAAAAAATTGATTTGTAAATTATGCACGATTTAAGCATATATTCAAATGAACCATATTTTGTTTTTCCGATATATTACTCAGATGTGTAAGACAACTTAGCCAACCACACATTCATATTTTTATATGGCCAAATTTCATCATTAACCTTACAAGTTTTTAGGGTTTAGTTCAGGCCTATCAATAAATTGAATTTTGATCCGAATCCGATTAACCGAATATGAATTAATATTTTTATCCATAATTTGAACTTGAATCCAAATTCGATATCTTATATTTTACGGATTCGGATTTAGATATACCTATTTCCAATCTAATCATAATCCGATTTGAATTATTTATATATTTCTACATAAATACCAAAGAAATTGAGTATTTAAAAAAATTTGTCAAAACTTAGGTATAATTTGTTAAAATTTAGTTAATTAAGTTATTCAAATCGAATTTTCAGATTGTATTCTGAATTGTTAAAGGATTCAAATATGAACTATGAAATTAAAATCTGTTGTATTCTTAGATCGGATTCGAATCAATCCAAATCCGATCCATCGACAAACCTAGTTTAGTCTATTTGATCATTCTTTAGTTTTAGGATGTTGCCTTCTCTATTCACAACGGAAATTAATTATAATCCTATCCCCATTTGGGTCCTTCCACGTGAAGTGATTAGATTGTAATACTGATATATTATTGTAAAGACTAAAATCGTATTTATCTGACAGTGTGACACATTTCTTGTGTAATGAAGAAACATATCAAGGTACGAAGATTAAAATACTTGGTTGTTGTTAGCTACCATGTCGAAGGTTAAACAATTTATTACTCTTGCAATTTCTTACACGCAACAATTAATTAGGTCATAGAAACTCATGTTGACAATCTGGGTATTTTGAGAAATTCATATATAATGTCCACATATTAATATTTTTTTTTTAATTTATGTATTTTGAGAAAATTTTATCGATTTTTTTTAAAATGGGTAAAAATTAATTTTAAATCATGTAATTTTGAGTGTTTGAATAATACGTATTATGGCTAGCTGTCTTGTAAAAGACACGTAGTTAACTTGATACAAGTGGTTTATGTATTGTAGTTAACGTATACAAGAATCATGAGTCACGGGATATTTAATTTAGACGATTCTAGATTATAAAAGAATGATTTTGACAACTTGATATGAAAGAATATGGGAATACAAGTATACCTAATAAGAACAAAGGTTCAAAATCAAATTTAAGTGTTGTTGATTGGTTAGGCAAAGATGAAATGGGTTGTTAAGAGTAGAACGAACGGCATGTTAATTGTACATGTCATAACTCACAAGTCCATTCTAGTGACCTTAGGGAATGTGACATGTTTTTTGGTTGATCATAGATATATTCAATACCCTAATGAACACTTGCAAGTTATTTAAGTTCAGTGATATAAACTAAAAAATTATGACCAACAAGTAACGGGATTTAAAATTAGATGTCTTGAATTTAAATTTTGGTGATTTCTTGGGGACAAGCCATGAGGGATTTATCCCTCAATAATATCCTAGTCCTGACGTGAATGATTAGTTGAGATGCACATAAGATAATCTAGACAATCCTGATCGTAGGAAAAAAGTATTTATTTCAAAATATCTATTAATAAAAGATAAAATGATGTTATTAACCAATTTCTCCCACTAACTCTTGTGGATTGATATACAAGAAGTAGAGAAACATCGAATAATTCACTTATCGCCCGTAGGTTCGCTCAGTAACTTGAATTTGCCAATACACACGATTTGTGGGTGATTGCATTAATTCAGAATATGCATTGCAACATGGTACAAAAAACTTTCGGCCGAGATAATTTCCTGTTATCCAAAAAAATTCAAAAAATTCAGGACCCATCATGAATAAATATACAGTTTTTTCCATTTAAAATTCCAAGCCATTTATTATGGTAGGTTGCAACCTAACTGAATTTGTCACTATTTAATCATATTCATAAATGATTTTGCCTAATAATATGACATACATCTAACTTGTTTAATTCAACAATGGAACCCCACCTCAATAGACCTTTCTAACTTCTTCTTAAGGCAAAATTTTGGACAATCATGGTAACAAATTAGTCGCGGTAGGTCCTAACTGCCTGCGTGGCCACACAAGCACCATAGTTCCATTGACAAAAACATAAAAAATTGATGGTTTTGAACTTATTCAAAATTTCTCTATTACGGTAATGTAGACAAGTTATAAACTTAAACGTCTTGAATTTAATTCTTGACAATTTTTAGAATTAAACGTTGAGAGATTTATTCCTCATGAATACCCTAAACCCAGCATGAATGACCTGTTTTTGTTCGGATTGGAGAGGGGATTAAGTCAAAATACTCGTAAACTGGCACAAACACTTCTAACTGTTGAACTAAAATAAAAATAAAAATTATCCATTATAATTCTACTCAAGTTTATTCAATGATGGATTACTCGTCGTGCATGATTACGGAGCTTACTTATAAATAATAAATCTAACTTAAAGCCATAATAGTTGGTCTACCATTACGCGAAGTGTAATATAGAGATCTCAACTTGATAACCATATATCCTCTAGTATATTAGTTTTTATTTATTTTTCTCAATAATAGGTCACTTATTAGGAGACGATAAGCCTCTCTGCAGTGGTAAACTTTTTCTTTTGGGACGTAAGTATCTCAATTTTGAGTCGTGGAAGTCTTGGACATGGAGATTTGCGCATATATTTGATTCTCTTCACATCACGTAGTATTGAAAGTCTCGTACACTTGTCTCTAGTGGGTTTTCTTGAATTTATGATGAGTGAACTTCAACTACCATTCAGAAAAATAGAAGAAAGTGTATTGAAAGAAATTTAAATCTAAACTGCAAGAGAGTACTAGTTGTGCAAGAGAGTACTAGTTGTAGTTTTGAACATATTATATTGACTTTTTGAAAACCAAGGGCATTTTTGATAATTCACAGACAACCCCATTAAAAAAAAACTGGTTTTACACAAGGAAATCCCTGATCAATGATCAGTTTGATCTAATAAATTTTTTTTGAATTCAGGTTGCATGATTAAAGGTCAAATGGGAATAATGTTAGGGGGTAAAACAGTCATTTTAAAACACCCCACCACTGAATTCCAAAATGCCCAGAAAGCAAAGGTGACCTACTTGGGCCGGCTTTTAACTATATTTAGCTGAGCAGACAAACACGAACTTATTATCACCGCCGTCGCTTTCTGCAGTTGCTGCTCATCAATTTCCTTTTACTATATACTTTTTTAATATACATGAAAATTATAATATTATAATTTTTGAATTAAATTATTTTTTTAAGTAAAATTACAACAAAATAAGATTAACCGATATTTTATCGGGTTTATTTTTCTATATGCTATTAAAATTACTGTAAAATAAGGTGAGGTTACAACTCGATTTAGTGGGTTTATTATAATAAAAAAGTGTTGTTTGCGATTAATCTCAACTTTTTCAAATTATAATTTAATGCATAAGTATATTAAGTAGTAACAGAGATGAACTATAAACTCAGATGTCCTGAATTTGAATTTTGACAATTTTTTGAGATTACAACATGAGAAATTTATTTTTCATGGAATATCTTATACTCCGTTTGGTATGATGGGAAAATAGAAGGATGAAAAGTTGTAGGGATAAATAAAATATCATGTTCGATAAGGAAGGAAAATAAGAAAGATGAAAAAGTAGATGAGTTCACTTTTCTTTCACCAAAATCAATCCCTCCAAAATTAGAAAGAAAGTGAATGAAAAGTTAATTATTTGTATTGAGATGTATCTTATTTGTCTATATATTTTTCAATATGTACATATATTATGTATATATTAATTTCATATAAAAATATAATGATAAAATATGTATTTATATAAATATAAATATAAATATAAGTATATATATATTAAAAAATTAAACATAATTTTAAAAATAAAAAAATAAAAAATAAAAATTTTAAATTAAAAAAAATATTTTTTGCACCTTCACTAGGGGTGAAAAAACACGATGACACTATTTAATTCGACATGAATTTTATGACACGAACTTGATTATAACTCGACATGAACTTAAAAATGATCTGACACACGAACAAAAAATATAAAAGGCTCATAATTTTATAACTCAACACGAATTTAACACGACACAATTCGATTGTCATCCCTAATATTAGTCAACACAAAAAAAAATTAGTTATTTTTATTTTCCATCCATCTATCAAATCAAATACAAAGGAATAAAAGTGTATTATTCATACTTTCCATTCGTTCTACTTTCTATCATTCCTATCAAACGGAGCACGGAGCAATAGTCTCGACGTGGATTACCAGCTTTCGACCAGATTTAAGAGGGAATTAATCGAAATAAGCGTAAACTAATCCGCACACTCTTACCGTTGAAAAAAAATAATACAATAATTTTTTGGATACCGTAGAATTACCATATTTTATATTTTTGTGCCATTTTTACTGTTACTGAGAGATCTGAATGAGTTTCGACCCTTCTGGAGTTACCTAAAAACATTTCTCAACCAGAACAAAAAAAAAAAAAGGTGAAGAAAGTTCAAAAGATTCCCCAGCTAAAAAGGGAATTGTTTTCTATTTCTTTTTAATTTTTTCTCTTTGTGTGAGATAGACAGGCGGATCCCACCGAAATAAATTAATGAATTCACCACACAACCATCTTAATAAATCCACAGAATTCACCATCTTCTGTATTTTTATTTTTTGCAGCTGTAATTGGCTTGGAAGTTAGAACTCTCAGGATGCTAGGAGTTTCCGGGTTAATAGACAGTTCAGGGGACGGCGCCGCGGCGGCTGAAGCTCAGGAAAGTGGTGGTGCTATTGGTGGCACTGGTGGTGGTCAAGTGGGTGTGTTTGAGACAATTACTGGTGGATTCAGTGAAGAAGAGAAGGTGAGAATGGAGGAAGGAGAGAGAAATTCTGGTGGAAACCGGTGGCCTAGACAAGAAACACTGGCTCTTTTGAAGATAAGATCGGACATGGATGTTGCTTTTAGAGA